ACTTGAGCCACTGATTGCTTCTTTCCTGCCTTATTTGCTAAAGTCCTATTTGTTCTTGCCTGTCGCTTAGTATTTTATCTTTAAACTTGAGGGTTTGCCTAGAACCCCCTTTTATAGGATACGAGTCCTAAATTCCTCCGGGGTTGATAGGAAGGGACGGGTAACAGCATGCAATAGGGGTCGAGACCAACCCTCGCTTTAATTAACTTCACGGGACGGGAAAGGGTAGATATGGATATGATGACCGGTGCGTTAATACCACGTGTAGCCCCTTTCCAAGGAGTGATTACCGGGTATTGCATTGATGTTATCCTTATTATAAACAAACCTAGGACACCCCTTTACATACAGAAATATGCTTAGATTGTAATTCTTTTCAAAATCTAGCTTTTCATTAACTATTTTTTCAAACATCCGTGTACTTAAACTTAAATTCCCCTATTATTTGAGCCATACTTGTTTATTTGCTAAATTGTACAAATCCACAAAAGCTGTTTGGCCGGGAACCACACTGGTGGATCTTGAGGGGTGCCTAACACCTTCCCCTTAGGATAATTTCAAGCCCTTACCCTGTCTCTGGTTATCAAACATAGTTATTAATGAACCCTCTAGGTGCCCTAACGCACCTTAAATCGTTAGGTGGTGACTCTTCAAAATACAAACCCCTTTCCCAAAAGGAATAAGTTATCTCAACCAAAATGTCATAAACCCGATTTTGCAAGAAAAAGGGGGCGCGACACACGTCCCATAACATAACACATACCTTCTCGAGGCCTCAAATCATGCATAAAAACATCAAAACGCATCTCAAATCAAACTTAATGAACTTTCGAACTTCCGACTTTCAAAAACTCGCAACGAAACATATCAAATCAACTCGGAATGAACTCAAATTTCGCACACAATTCCTAATACATCATAAGGAGCTACTCGTGCCTCCAAACTATCGAGCAAAGTGTGAATGCTAGAAAGGACCGGTCGGATCATTACATTCTCCCCTACTTAAACATACGTTCGTCCTCGAACGTGCCAAGAGTTGTTCTGAAGCCGTCAAACCGCCGTGTAACCTTACCATGCACATACCGGGGGTGATCCGATGTCACCCTATTCCATATAGGCCCGATAACACAACATAACCAAAGATTATTACTTCAACCTTAGTCCATAAACCACAGAATCCAACTTCCAGCATCCAAAATTTACTACAAGATCTGAACTTCGCATCTACACACTGTAAAAGTATGAATAAGTTGTATCAAGGCATAACCATAACCCAAGATGTAATAACCCGACATACCACACAACTCGCATACTCGTAGCAAAATTTCCAATCACTGTAGCTGCTCAAAATAACCCAATACCGGCAATAAACCTCATGAGAAACAAAACCTCGTTCTAAAGCCTTTGTGTACTGCAGATGATGCAAGAAACACACAGAAACTCATAACCATTCATCTGATCAACAAGTCATTGAGCTCCCTCTCCTTTGACAAGAACTATATCCAATTACTAAGCCGATCAGCGACATTATCCTTTCAAATATACCGCAATCAAATCCGATAGCACCCATTCTAGTTCCGACGACCTTATCTTATCAAATACAAGCTACTCTAGTGACACACCTCACCAATACTACCCAGAGCCATAAACCGTGCAATCCGTGCACCAACACGCAATAATTGAAACATACTCAAAAATAGAAAATGACCCCAATGAGAGAACCGTCCCGCAAGCTCAATAAGTACCACCACAACACAATGCTAAGAACCCATCACACATCGTAGAACCAAAACACACGAATCTAACACAAATGATCATATCCTAACATAACTTCGCCGCAATGCGCGACCCCATCCAAACACTGGTCCACATGAAATACCTCAAGTCACAATGCTCAAAATCAACAACCACACGCAATTTGACGTCTGATACCAAAAGTGTATGACCATAACCACTGAGAAGAAAATAACTCAATACCATAGTCCAGAATGAACATAATCAATGCACAATCAATCATTCAAAACCCTAATAACCATCTCGCTAAAATTTCGCCATAAGGCCCAAATAGAACCGCACCATGTGTGTATATAACCAATGAATCACAATCCCTCATAGCATAGAAGGGTGACTCATAGAGCATCTTAGAACACGAATAAGCTCAACTCTAACCGAATGGAACATCCCTCAACAACAGTAGTACAGAGTCAATCAATTCAACCCGGTGTAGAACACACATCCTCATTGGGCCTACCAATGGACCCCAAATCAACTCTAGTCACCAACAAATAGATACATAACCCTTCGAAGTCCACAATGACTGAATCATAAAGAATACTATCATCTGGATAGCTTTTGCCACATCTTCACAGTCCACAACCATGAAATAATCTATTTCTAAGAATTCCCGATCCCCAAATCCATAGAATATACGAATCACCATATCTGTCCCAACTCCACCGCCCAAATGTTTAGCACATATCTCATAAACGACCATACCATGAGGAATGCTTCAATAATACTCCCGTGCCACCTAGCAAAATTTAAACCTCAGCAATCGATCAACCAGGTGAGTACCGCAACACCAATGAAGTATTCGTAAGTCAAAACACAATGCGCCTTCTAAAATGTGCACCCTTCTCAGGTAATATCAAGTAGTAATATCATTTACTTAGCTATCTGAAACTATCCATATTGCGTAAGAATTCATGACTTTCCATTCAAACCGAACCGTGACCTTGCACACGCAAATCTTAATCCCAAACAACACACCACACCAATCATGCCATCATGTGAAGAGTACAAGAATCTCATAATAAACTCTGAGTCCCAAGCAGAATATATACCCGATCAGTCAGAACCTTTCATTTGATCTCATCCAGGAGGAAATCACAATACACAACATGTTCCATACACCGATAGGAAATATACACCTCTAACCATGGCAGAAGACATTGAGAACACCTTGAAACCCCTTTGTACATAACCAAGTCATCAGGATTGAATCTCTCTAACTCAATTGATCCATGCAGGTTGCCAAACCCAAGAGTATTTCCACGAAACACCTGTAGAGTCTCACCACATCATACCCATTACCGTGCTGATCCAACCTACTATCCAACTGCCCTATTTCTTTGAGTTCTTATGAATTGCCTTCAAGTTGATACTCCTCCTTGATAGAACACCACGATCCTTAACCAACTCACCACAAAAGATACTAGCATAAAACCACATGCCATAAAGCCCATAAGCCCCTGTATTCCCTCTTAAGCACCCCAAATGTACCACAACCGAGATACCTACTCTAAAGAGACCTTCTGTGAATCTAAAACCGTTTCCTTTACCTTCCTGATAATGAAATATAGAATCCATAAGGATATAGAAATACCGCAAGTCTCGACACCATCCAATGTAAATCTCAGTTTCTGGCCATATACAAATCCTGAAAATTTCCAATTGATACATATAAATCTTGAATCCATTAGAACCTTCCCGAGAGTCATTTACTCTGCTCAAATCTCAGTTGCACCACCGAAATGGCCCGAATGACTTGTGCCCCATTAGCACAACAACACAGAAAGAAGTAATTAACACCTCTAAGCAACCGAGCAAGTTCCTATTTTACGCACACTACATCCTTCAAAAATAACCACTCAATCATCCCATGAATCCCATATACCAATAGAGTGTAACACAACCCATATCCAGAAATTCTTTTGTCGAGTCATCCTCGATCTCAGCCTCTACAAGTCATAACTGATTCACAAGTATACCTCAAACTGAAAGCAATACAACACATAATCGTGCAATCAACTCGTCGATTGCTGACTCCCCCACTTGGCCCAAAGCAATAGATCAAAACACACAATAACTCACAATTCCCATACTCTATTACTATATCGCAGTGAGATTCAACTAAATCCTTCATGAGCTCCTGTAACGTAAACCATCTAATACTTCAAATTATCTGCAAATCTCGCATTCACCCTTGTAACAGTCAAGGCAACTTCCACAAGAGATCCAAACTCAAATTGCAACACATATCATTCACTGGTAAAAGAGAACTCTCTACAAAACATCATAGGGATCACACAACCTCAGGACACGCCGCAGGAGATAACCCACTTGCTTTGCCTCAAACCGACATCTCTCTATACCTTCCACAGTCACGACTACAACGCAATCACTTAATCTTCCTAATTCTGAACTCATCAACAAGACATGAGAATCTAAATCATTCCATAATTAAACAACATGAAATATCCTTCAACACACCCATAACTCGAGACTATACGTCAATTCAAGACAAAAATTAATCACCAAATAGTCTTTTTTTACATCTCAAGGAAACTCTTTTCGTCACATTCAAACAATCTGAACACATCTCGCAGTCATATCATACTTATCATATAGCCATCCAACCACTCATCGAGCCATGAATTCTATTAATAGGGACACTACCAAACTTATAAGTCCAAAAGCACGTGCTCACACAACCGAAATCTTCGTGTGCAGCTGCAGTCAAAACCCGGCCTCAAGTCCTCCAGACTGGCCCTTCAACAACACACAAAAATCATATCTCGCACCTTATCCATGGAATCACTAGCCGCCAATGCACAAGCGATACCGAGCGCTCACATGCGCATACGAATGCGTGGAAGGAATTCAAAGAGTTACGCTTCAAGCTGAATCAATGCTGCACGATATGAAAAGAAAGATGGGAAGTATATCCTAAATGTCCTATAGCCTCTCGAAGATAGGTATGGACGTCATCAGACCGATCCATAAGACTCTACAAGACACTTGCTCATGACTTGTAGAACCTATGAACCTAGAGCGCTGGTCCAACTTGTCACGACCCAAAATCCAACTAGTCGTGATGACACCTAACCCAACCTGCTAGGTAAGCCAATTAACAACTATCCATTCCCAATGAAATTTAATAAAACAATTAAGTAAAAGAAAATATGTGAATCCTATACATTTCCCAAGGACTGGTAGTACAAATCATGAGCTTCTAAGATTAGAATTTACAATGCTGGTGTGAAATAAAAATACATCATCTGTCCGGATAATACATAAATAGATTTCTCATAAGCCTAGAGCTACCATGAACAATAGGTAGCTATAACCAGAATGCAAGTACATCTTCAAATCCACCTCCCGTCGATCACATCAACTTCAACAGGAAACTTCTGCACGCAAGTTGTATAAGTGTAGTATGAGTATAACCGACCCCATGTACTCAATAAGTAACAAACCTAACCTTAGGTTGAAAGTATGGACAAGCTAGAACATAGGTCAGAGTCCGACACCAACAACCAACAACAGTTCATAACTACATAATGAAAGTAATAACAGAAGCAACTCAGAGATAAAATGCTCAGCTTGTTCACAGTTCTAGAAAATAGGTATATTTTTCAAGTAGATCAGTGAAAATCTAAATCTTTTACGAAAATCGCCAAAAATATGAGTGACTTTGAAAACTGTAATTTTTCCCAAAAAGCTTTCAATAGGTAAATGTTTCCTTTTCAAATGGCATGAGGAAAATACATCTCTATGCCGATATGTCAACATGTGTGAGAAGTCAGGAATGACGTGATACCGTACAATATGAGGAAAATACATCTCTATTCATGTATGTCATGTATGCATGTCAATGCAATGTATCTCAGAGATGAACTCATCTACTCACACTCTCAGAGTACTCAATCTCACTATCTCACACTTTCCACTCATCATGCTCAATCACTCGATATGCTTAGTCACGTAGTACTGCATATGGCCAATCTAGCCCAGGAAAGATCAATCCCGAATATATACATAACAACTACCAATCAGTCACTCAGTACATTATAAGGCAAATACAGACTTGGGAAGATACATCCCCAAATATAAATGCTTCGGGCAAGATTCATGCCCAGAGAAGATCCATCCCTCAATATAAATCAACCACGCTCACTAGGTGTGGGTGCATACTCTGGAGGGGATCCTTCGGCCCAAGCGCTATATCAAGCCAATCATGGCATAAATCAATGATACCTGCTGCGACTTGCAGCCCGATCCCATAAAAATATATATAGTCGTAAGGCTCGTTGCGGCGTGCAACTCGATCCACATATATACAGCCATAAGGCTCGTTGCGGCGTGCAACTGGATCCAAATATATACATATATCACTCAGAGCTCAGGACATCTGCCTTACCCAGTAATCAATCCCTCCAGTCTCACGGGCTCACAATGCCATGAAACTAGCCCAAAATGATGATATGATGTGCTAATAAATAACAATAGAGACTGAGATATGATATGAAATGAATGAACATGAGTGTGTGTGGAATTCCAATTTAAACTAATAATTCAACAACAATATGAGCTCGATGGATCCCAACAGAATAAGCATGCAGCCTAGACGTGGTTTCTAACGTAGATCATAGCTCAATAGCTCTAGTACGTTCAGATTTCATGGTTACAAATAAGATCAGGTCACTATACAGTACCACAGGAATAACGGAGTCACAATTCATACGGTGCACGCCCACAAGTCTGTCACCTAGCATGTGCATCACCTCAACAACAAACACATAACACGTAATTCGGGGGTTCATACCCTCAGCATCAAGTTTAGAAGTGTTACTTACGTCGAACAAGCCAAATCCAATATCGAGCAAGCTAAGCAATGCTCCCAAAAAATGCCATCCAGTGGGTACTAACCTCTGAATGACTCAAAACTAGCCAAAAGCAACTCAGATACATCAAATAATGTCAAAGGAAACAAACCCAATAGATAAAGGTCAAATCTTTAATCAAAATCCCAAAATCGACCAAAATGTCAAATTCGGGCCCGCGCCTCGGAATCCGATAAAACTCACAAAAGCCGATAACCCTTCCAGTTACGAGTCCAACCATACTATTTTCACTCAAATCCGAATCCGAATCGATGTTTAAAACCCAAAAGTTCACTTTATGAAATTTTAGACAAAACCCTCAAATTTCACTTTGAAATCATCAATCAAATGCCAAAAACGAAGATGGATTCATGAAATATAACCAAAATCGAGTATACAACACTTATCCCAATCCATATGGTGAAAATCGCCTCCAAATATTATCCAAGTCTGAACTCCCAAACTCAAAATATGACCAACTGAATAAACTTTCGATATTAAGTATTTTTGCCCAACTGTTCCTCCTTTTTTGTGCCCAACGATCCCGAAACTCGCTTTTGGTGCCTCAAATGGATTCCTTGTGAACTTTCAGTCAAGTTAGGCTTTTGAATCACTCCATTTGACCTTATAATGAAGCAAATTTTTTAATATTTAAAAATCGTGCAGATTTTTAAATACGAAGTCAATGGCAATTTTATGATTAATCTGAAAAATCTGGCAACCCAATTCTTAGTAAAATGACCATAAAATCCTCATACGATGTCCAAATTTGACGATTCTTTTTGCTATGACTGCGTAATTATGATACAGATATAATGCTTCAATCAAAATAGAAATCAGGGCTCATTTGTTTAATGTGGTACCATTTATGCTTGAAGAAACGATGTCGAAACATAAAAAAACGAGTGCAACATAGCCCAAACTTATCCAAAACTCACCCGAGCCCCTCAGAACCCGTATGAACATACCAACTCATCCCATAACATAACATGAACCTTCTCGAGGCCTCAAATCACGCATAACAACATCGAAACACATCTCAAATCAAACTTAATGACTTTCGAACTTTCGACCTCCAAAAACTCGCGCTGAAACATATCAAATCAACTCGGAATAAACTCAATTTTTTCACACAAGTCCTAATACATCATACGGAGATACTTGTTCCTGCAATTAGCGAGAAAAGTGTAAATGATCAAAATGACCAGTCGGGTCGTTACAGTTATGAAGCTAGATAATAGAGTTCTCCAACTATTCAAGGAACTAGGCTTAACTATATTTCTGAGGCGATTAGTAACGTCGTAAAAGAAACGTAGTATAGGGGGAATCATTAACATTCCCAAACATAGAGAGTTAGACTCATATTCCTTAACTTCCTACTCTTGAGCGTAATACAACATTCGCCACCCCTTTCAACTTTAGTCTATATCAGTACAAGTGTGATGACCCAAAAGGTCATCACTTATTTTTAAAATCAAATTCTGCATCTCGAGGCCTTATAAACCTCTTTTAGCATCACCTCAATTTGCGTGCATAGTCCGGGCGCGTAGCCAGAAAGCCTATATGTGAAATTCTGTGAAAAATGATAAATATTGACTATAAAATGAATTAATTTGACTTCGGTCAACGTTTTGGGTAAACGGACCCGGACCCATGATTTAACGGTCTCGGAGGGTCCGTAGGAAATGGGACTTGAGCGTATGCCCGGAATCGAATTCCGAGGTCCCAAGCCCGAGAAATGAATTTTTAAAGAAAATTATTTTCTGAAATTGTTTAAAGGATTTGGAAATGAATTTCGATTAGAACATGTTAGTATCGGGCCCGTATTTTGGTTCCAGCACCCGGTACAGGTCTTATATATGATTTAGGATAATTCTGTGAAGTTTGGTAAGAAACGGAATCCGTTTGACGTGATTCGGACCTTAAATGCAAATTTGACGTTTAAGGAAGTTTTGGGAAATTTCATTGATCTTGAGGTTTAATTCGATGTTCATGATGTTATTTTGGTGATTTGAGTGCACGGATAAGTCCGTAGGATGTTTTTGAGGTTGTGTGTATATTCTGTTTGGAGCCCCGAGGGCTCGGGTGAGTTTTGGATAGGCCACAGAGTGCATTTTGAACTTAGAAAATTGCAGGTTTTTCAGCTGTGCATAGCAGGCCTGCAGGCTTCGCATTTGCAAAGCCTGGCTCGCAAATGCGATATCGCAAATGCGAGCCGCTTGTCGCAATTGCGAAAGAAGCCCAGGCCAGCTCCCTCTCGCAAATGCGAGATTGTTCTTCGCAAATGCGAAGTTTCCCATTTGGCCAGGGATCGCAAATGCGACCAAGTGTCGCAAATGCGACTTTGTTTCCGCAAATGCGAAAGTCCAGATTTCTTAAGGGTTCGCAAATGCGAGCCCTGTTTCGCAATTCCCAAGCTAGCAGAGGTCGGCGTTCGCAATTCCCACATCTGAGACCTGTAACTTTTATACTTAGACGATTTTAAACCCATTTTTCATGTTCTCTCAAACCATAAACACACTTAGGCGATTTTTCAAGGATTTTGTTCTTCTCCAAATCAATTGTAAGTCGTTTTTAACTAACTTTCTTCAATTCTAACATCTTTTAACATGATTTCAACTTCAAATTAATGATTCTCATGGGGGAAATTGGGTGTTTTGGGTAGAACCTAGGTTTTTCAAAAGTTGGGGATTTGGACCTCGATTGAGGTTCGATTTCAAAACAAATTATATATTTGAGTTCGTGGGGGAATGGGTAATCGGGTTTTGGTTCGAACCTCGGGTTTTGACCATGTGAGCCCGGGGGCAATTTTTGACTTTTTGGGTAAAACTTTGGAAAACTCATTTTCATGCATTGGGGTTGATTCATTTAGTGTTTATTGATGTAATTAAGTAACTTGTGACTTGATACGAGCGAATTGGTGGTAGAATCAAGGGCTAAAGCTGTAATTGAACCGTGAATTGTGTTCGTGGAATCGAGGTAAGTGTTTGGTCTAACCTTAGCTTGAGGGATTAGGAGTTGTGTCTATTTGCTACGTGTTAATTGTGGAGTACGACGTATATGCATGGTGACGAGTATCTATACGTTGGTGTGAAGCATGCCCGTGAGTCTTGTGTTATAATTTGTTATGACTCCGTTGTAGTTTATTATGCCTCACATGTTATTATCATCATTGTTCCCTTGCCGGGATGTTTGTTTGATATTATTGTTCCCATGTCGGGATATTGTTGAGATATCATTGTTCCCTTGCCTGGATGTTGTTGAAATATTAATGTTCCCTTGCCGGGAAGTTATTATGTTGTTCTTGTTCCCTTGCTGGGATTCCTTGTGATTATTGTTGGTTGTAAATGGGAGCGGGTGGTACGCCTACCACAAGATATAATAAAATGGGAGCGGGTGGTACACCTACCACAAGATATAATGAAATGGGAGCGGGTGGTACGCCTACCACAAGATATAATGAAATGGGAGCGGGTAGCACGCCTACCACAAGATACATGAAATGGGAGCGGGTGGCACACCTCCCACGAGATACATGAAATGGGAGCGGGTGGCACGCCTACCAGGAGATACATGAAATGGGAGCGGGTGGCACGCCTGCCACAAGATATGAGAAATGGGATCCGGTTGCACGCCTGCAACAAGATGTGAAAAGAATGTGCAATCTGCCTTTGTTTTTCTTTATTCTTGTTAGTGGTTGGATTTTGATTTCTTTATATTCTATTGATATTCTGTTTTTTTTACCTGTTTTTCCCCGAAGCATGTTTCCCCCTCCCATCTTTACTTGTTTATTTCCGTATTTTTTTTCCGCTATATATATATATTTGAACTGCACAAGTTTATTTGGTAGTCTGGTCCTAACCTCGTCACTACTTTGCCGAGGTTAGGCTAGGCACTTACCAGCACATGGGGTCGGTTGTGCTGATACTACACTCTGCACTCTTTTGTGCAGACCCCAGCGTTGTGGACTTCGGACCGCAGTGAGGTTGCTGATTCTTGAACGTAAGGTGACCCGAGGTAGTCCTGCAGGCGTCCGCAGGCTTTGGCGTCCCCTTCTATCTACTATTCCTATTTCTTTCATGCATTTCTAGAGATAATGTTGTATTTATTTCTTTCAGACCCTTTATTTGTAGTATTCTTAGACCATCTGTGAAACTGTGACACCAGTTCTGGGTAGTCGAGACTCAAACAGTTGTATTAGATATTCATGTTCAGATAGCTTATTGTTTCCTTCTTCCGCTTATGTTAAATTCCGTTGTTTAAATGTTATTATTTCGAAATTGTTAATGAATATAAAATGGGTAAAAAGGTAAATTGCGCAATTAGTTGGCTTGCCTAGCTCGTATTAGTAGGCGCCATCACGACTCCCGAGGGTGGAAATTTGGGTCGTGACAACAAGTCTAAGGGATTCCATATTAGCAATAATGCTCTTATTTTGGTCACTTAGGCATTTTATCAAACACTTGTTGGACATAAAGCTTCATAGCCCTTATTAATGGTGTTTCTACAACCAACAATCCATCATATTTCTCCTAGATAAATTCTAAAGTCTCAAATTGCTACAATCAATATCATTCTTCATTACCCATAAGATACACAATACCCTTAATCAATAATCAGCAATCAATAACCCAAACTTATAACCATTCATGTTTTTCTATCAAATCCATCAATTCATATCTCATGAACTAGATTCTATAATCATTTATCGAAATGCAATAATCAATTAGAGAGGGAAGATATTACCTTTTGACGTTCAATCCTCTTGAGTTTTGAGGTTTCTTTCTCAACCATGATGTCCCAATCGAATATCTAATAATTTGAAGGGTTTACCCATGTTAATAAGCTATTGGAGAATTGAAATTAACTTAGAATTACCGTTAGAACTTACCTTGGATGGTGGAGGGACCTTTGAAGCGTTAGGTTCTTGAGATTCCCTTTCTAGAGCAAGTTTTTGTGGTTTGGGGTGTGTGGGGCGAAGTATGGCTTATAAAACGGCTTCCCGGGTGCGCCCCCACGCATATAAAGACCCAACCATGTACCTGAATGCTCATCAAAGGCAGTAACACTGCCACAAAAGCGTGGCCGCGCACGAGAACAGTTGGGAGCGCACATGAGTGCGCAGACTGCACATTGTCTAGTAAAATGCGTACAACCTTTTTCACAGAGGTCCGTTAGGGCTCCATAATATTTCATTAGGAAGGTATAATGGGATACAACTTTCATGTTTTAAGTTATCCCAAATTCTCAACATATTTTCACGAAATCCTGATAGAAGTAAGACATTCCATAAACTTAATTGATTTTATCGAATCTTATGGACCTCACTCTCCGTCTTGATTCCAAAACAACTATTTCAACTCATACTCATCCTGATAGGAGTTCATATGTCTAATATGTCACATTTGATACTCATTTAACATGTCCACACCCAACCCAAATTTACGGAGTGTTACAAAAATATAACACGAAATCAATGCTCGCTAGATAAAGATAGTATAGTAAAATTATCGTCTCCACTTGAATTAGAATTAAGTAATGTTCAATTACTAATGATTTTATGCTATTCAAGATGGTCAACACTTGATTTGATTAATTACTAACTATAATTAACTACTAAATTAATATTATGGCTAATTAGACTTGATCACAGAGAATGCGTGTTGAACTAAAAAGTTTGTAAAAAGTATGAGAAATAAGGGTCACGACATCATAGGTGTAAGATAGCTATTCAAAATTTACCTCTGGTTGAATTCACTTCTAATGTTCTAATGATTCTCGCGAATTCACTTGATGATTAGCTTAAATGTAAGGTCAAGATTCCTCTCTCGATTAAATCTAAACTCTATAAAATAAACCAATATGAAGTACTATGAAAATATGCAAGAACATGTTAATGGACTAGTCTTTAGAAAAACGTCTCTTGGATATTCTCCTAACTTGGTTTAACCAATAATTCAAGAAGCGTTCTCAATTACTTAGAATACTCACCAAATTAAACCAACCCAAATAATGCAAAATAATCAAACAAGAGTTCAATCCAAAAATAATAATAAAAATACCATATCCGTCAAACCCCTGAGATAAACTACTCCATTGATATAGAGAAATTCATCGTATATAAGTTTAAGAATATAGAAAATATCAAAGACAATATTACGTACAAACTCCAATTTTGCATGGATTGTTGACAAGAGAATTGATGAAATTGTGTGCCTTCAAGCCATAGTAACTCTTCAAAACTCTCCTAAGTTGAATCCCTTTAAAAATTGTGTTTAGAAAATATTTATACCGTGTACAAACTACCCTAGGACCCAATGTCCTTTAATGAGACGAAGTGGGAAAAATTAGCCCGAGATTGAACTGTTGCGCCAAACTTTGTTTGCTTTCCTTGCGTTTTCTCCTTGCTTTATGAGGAATTAGGCAGACATGTGGTGTGCACATTGGCAGGCACTCCTTGCTTTATGAGGAATTAGGCAGACATGTGGTGTGCACATTGGCAGGCACAACGTGCCAAGCCAACTTTAGAGTGTTCTTTTCTCTTGGTTTCTAATGAACATTTTGGCCAGCCTCCCTCCACACGCCGTGATAGGCCATTGACTTGGCCTTGAGCGTTTTTTCGTCTACTGTTTATATGTATACTCGGTCCCCGATCCTCAGAATCCAGACTTTATTTTTTTTTGACTTCTACTCAGATTTCTAAACCTTACTTTTTATTCAATTCAGCTCCTAAAATTCGTCCTACCAAGGATTCTCAACCTCACAACAGAAAATATGTAATGAGCACAAATTAATTATATTTTAGCTCAAATAAGATTAAAGTGTAGCAAATATTATGTGTAATATAATTAAAATTTATATTTTTAGCTTACCATCGATACCCCACACTTAGACCATTGCTCGTCCTCGATTACGACCCAAATCTCCCTCCGTAAGCGTGATGACGACACCTAGTCTCTAAGACTAGGTAAGCCTAACAGTTGCAGAATAACTGAACAATAACAACAAACAACGGCTAAACTTAAGAACAACAAATATATACATACCTATATATATATATATACATACCTATATATATATATATATATATATATATATATATATATATATATATATATATATAGATATATATATATATAGATATAGATATCTGTTGTTAAACAATCTAAAATATATATAAGTTAGAAAACTGCCGCTCAGTGTTGCTCCCAAAAGCACATGCAAGTATACGTGGTCGACAAGTAATATAGGATTGTAAGTCCAGATATCGTACCCACAGGGATTTGTGATTAACTATCAAATAAAGTCAACCAAGTAATTAATCTATTCAAGTGAATCCTAACGTATGAATATTTAACTAAAATTAATGTAGAGTAACAAATTAAGAGATTAAAGAAAACAACGACAATCTTAAAGACGAATTCAATGTGAGTGAATATTCTAGAGCTATGGTTTAGCGAACAATCCCGTTGAGTTTTTCACTTAAATCGCCTAATTAATTTATCTGATTTATTGGTTAATAGGGTTAATATTGCTCGTAGCCTTCTCCCGAAGTACAACTCGCCTATTCAAGCTAACCTAACGCCTATATTCCTATGGAATTAGAATTAACAAGAACGCATTAATAATTCCTGTATAGTAACCAAGCAAGGCGATTAGGAATATTCCTATCCTAACCGCAAATCCCCCCCCTCCCCCCGAGTTAAGATCTTGCTCTACTCAATCTTATATGCAATCTAGAATTCCCTCTCCTGAGTTCAATCCTAGATTCGTTGATAGTATTCAATTCGTGATCAAGCAATCAAATAATTAAGCGCAAGATTGAATAAATAAACCAATATGATAAAATAATAAGAACAATTAAAGTTTCAAACTACAAGTCACGTACTCACCCAACAAGAAAGTTACAATATTACCAATAATTCATGAGACCATGTGCACTCACCAACAACTAAAGAGTGAATATAGACTAGTCCACACATTCAAATATGCTTTTGAATATAGATTAAGGACATCACACAATTGAACAAAATTCGCTCACTCACACAAAGAATTCAAATACATCCCGTGGTTGTCCCATGAGCTTGCCCATAGTGTATATCTCTACTAATTTAAGCTAGCCAAATCTAGGATCAATTAGGACTTTAAGGTTGTAATGCAGGCTAAGGGACGGGTATGATACATTTTGAAATAGTGACTAACCCTCCTAAGCACTTTAATACACTACATTTACAATTCAAACACATATTCTCCTCAACCAATCACTTGCCAGAAACCATATGCAACATAGCCCTTACTTTCATTAAGAACTTCTATACTCCCACTAGCACAAATTAATAAGATTGGAGGTGTGTATTTTCTACATACTTTGACTATCATTTTCTTTTTCTTTCTTGAAATTTTTTTTTCTACACATACTCCATACATTTTAGTTCACCGGGTAATGACTTTTGATTTCAATTTTTGTGCACCAACAGGCCCTTCCGTGGTTCCACTCAAAAACTGCTCCCCAATATCTAACCTTACTTATTTTAGCGACTAAGTGCCTTAGGAGGTAAAGATTAAACAATCTCAAATAAGAACAAAACAGGGGTATGGCTTGTAATGTGGGTGCCAGAAGAAAGGTCTATAGGTTCAAAGGGCTAGCAACGGAAAATTTTATTTTTATGTGACAAGCACACTTACGATCAAGCAAGAAACGCCTACGTCATCTCCTAGATTAGCACAACTTACAATTTCGCTTCGATTAACACATATGGCAAGTTCTAGACTACACAGGATAGCATCGAAGATCACAAATCCTCACACACACATTGCACATGCCTCATCAAGACAATTTTGTTCAACTCTCTAGTCAAACAAGCACACATAATTGACAAATTTAAGCAGTGAAGCACTATGTGGCATGCAAGTCAAACAACTGAGAAAAAACGTTACAAGATATGCTATTTACTTTACTTAGACGTCACAATTCAAATCAAATGCACGAGAAAACAGAATGTATGTCATAGCCTAATGTGCCAACATCAACCATGTCAATGAGTATCTCAGAACAACTCAGTTTCTTCCTAAACTACTTCTAAAAAAAAATAAAGTATCCGATAATGGAAATGTAACACCCCGTAAATTCCGCTTAGTTATGAATGAGTTAAAGGAGTAGTAAGGTTATATTTTGAACATGTGAAGTCCCATCGGAATGGTTATGGGTGAAAATAGTTGTTTCAAAATCAAGATGGAAAGTGTGGTGCATAAGATTTGACAAAATCGACTAAGTTTGCAGAAGGTCTGTCTTCCAGTATGTTTTAGTGAAAATGTATAGGGCATTTGGGAAAACTCAAAGCATCGAAGTTGTAGGCCATTGAAATAGCTTTCCAACAATATATTGTGGAGCCCAAACGGAGCCCTGTGCAAAAAGTTATGCCCGTTTTACAGAAAGGTATGTAACCACCGCGGTCCTGCCGCGTTTTCACCGCGACCGCGGTGGCGAGACAGTGTCCCAGCGATTTACCGCGGTCGGGACCGCGGTCGCGCAAACTGGGACGCGGTAGCCAGCTTGGGAAGTCATTTTTTTAGCCCTATTTCGTCCCCCACAACCCCAAAACATAAAAACTTGCTCTAGAAAGTGAAGCTCTCAAAAACCTAACTCCTTAAGGGTCCCTCCACCACCCAAGGTAAGTTTTAATGGTGATTCTAAGTTAATTGCAACTTCCCAACATCTTATTAACATGGGTAAACCCTCCATATCATTAGATATTCGATTAGGACATCATTGTTGAGAGAAGGAAGCCTAGAACTCAAATTCAAAGGGTTTGAACTTCAAAAAGGTAATGTCTTCACCCTCTAATTGATTCTAACATTGGTTTAATGATTATAAATCCTAGTTCATGAGATATGAGTTGTTGGGTTGATAGAAAAGCATGAACGATTATAGGGTTGGGGTGTAATTGTTGATTATTGGTTAAGAGTGTTGTTTACCTTATGGGTGATGAAGAATAATGTTGATATAATTATTTGAGGCTTTAGAATTTATCTAGGAACAAGAGAATGGGTTGTTGGGTGTAGAGACATCATTAATAAGGACTATGAAGCTTTATTTTCACCAAGTGTTTGATAAAATGCTTAAATGACCAAAACATGAGCACCATAGCTAATATGGAATCCCTTTGACTTGTATTGCTATAGATTAAAGTTTAAAGGGGTTGACAAACGTTGTATTACGCTCAAGGGCAGGAAGTTAAGGAATTAAAATGGGCCCTGATGCTTCCGTCCCTGTACATGTACACTTTTTAAAGATAAAAAGAGCTGAGTTGGCTAATTATATAGAAATTACTGATTGGGAAGCATTAGCTATTTTAGCGGACCCTCTTCGAGAGCCTTGGGGTGAAATTTTAACTGAGATTTATCATGATGTTTGACCTAGTGCACCTTTTAGCGTATATGAGCAAGAGTTAGTGTTCGATTGGTAAATGGATGTCCTAGCAAACATGTAAATTGTCATTATGTGTTTTATCTTAATGAAATTTATATTATGTTATTTCTCTCACCAGTTACATACATTGTTTGTTATATATTTTTATGGATTGAGACTTGAAACAAAGTACACACTAAGAAGTGATTCTNATATATATATATATATATATATATATATATATATATATATATATATATATATTGGGCCTGAGGCCGCAGTTTAATATTCAGTTAAACAGGTTGTTCATCATTCAGAAGAGGGAGTATTTACATCCTTACTTCCTTGTTCAGTTATCAGTTTATCAGCTAGCAGTTCAGTTTCAGTTTCAGTATTTACAGTTCTTTTGTTCAGCTATTTTACATACCAGTACAATTCAAGTGCACTGACATCCCTTTTGCTCGGGGCCTGCATCTCGCGATGCAGGTAGCGATTTTCAGGTTGACGATTCTGCTTGCTAGGGTATCTCGTATCAGCTATTGGTGAGCCCCAGTCTTTCGGGGCCTTATCTCTATTTTGTTTTAGTCATTATAGTATTTCAGTTAATAAGGTATACCGGGGACCTTGTCCCGGTAAACAGTTGACATTTTCAGTATTCTATAGAGGCTTCGTAGACTATAACCCAGTCATTCAGATATTAGCAGGCTTTTATGTGTTAGCCTTGTCGGCTACTTGTTTATACTTGCAGACCCTTTCAGTATTTTCCGCATCTATGATATATCAGTCAGACTCTTTAGTAGATTATCATGCCATATATTTACCTCTAGCTTACCGTTATACCACATGTTGATCCAGCCATATAGTTGGTTCGCTCGGTCACATGCAGTCAGGCACCGAGTGCCGTGTTACGCCCAGGCTATGGTTCGGGGCGTGACAGGAAAAGAACCAGCACCCAAACAAAAA